TTCAAAAAACGACTTTCTTTGTTAGTACCAATTCACGAGACGTACATCGATGTACAAATAGTGTTCTAGTTGTAGAGAATACTTTGAAAAGATGTTGAAGTTTGGTTCTTATTAGAGCATCTACAATGGCAATTTTTAGTATATGTTCTTAGTATATTTTTGATTAAATATAATTGATAAATAGTAAGTGATATATCCTATATTTTACCACTTTTACTATCTATTTTACTATGATTTTTACATATATTAATAAAGTTTTTCAACCAAAAGAGGTAGTTTTCTCGTATGTGTAGATTTTAAGGTCTTAACAGGTTTTATCATCAAAAAGATGTAAAATGGAGCAAAAAGAGTGTTATCTATGATACAGCTACTCATTCAAGTCAAAGAAACTAAGCCAAATCATTTTATCTTGAAGATAGTGCATATTCTCAAACTGGACATAACGTATATTTCAGAAGTTCGCTGATGAACGGAGGATCAAATCAATTGGAAATTTAATGAAACTTGTTATAGAGATAGCCCTTTGAGTTAGATTTTCAATGGAGTTGGAATTTCATCAATTGGAGCTGTACTTTAGAAGATAAACTGGAAACACTGAGAACATGTCAAACTGCCTTCGAAGTGAAGTGAGTGCACAAAGGAGCCAAGCACCGGGCCGCCCATGGGCCGATGATCTAGACCTTTGCCGACCTTCTAGAAGCACCAACGAAGCCTCTAATACCGGTTACGAAGCCCGACCGTTATTGTGACCGGTATTGCCTCAGTTTCGACTAAAAAGACGTTTTTGCCTGAAGAAACCCTAGCCGACTTAAGCCTCCTTAAACCCCTATATATACTTGCTTTTAGCCTCTCTAGGAACTTAAGCAGCCGGCCATAACAGCCTAAATCAATACCTAAACATGTATTTCATTTTTCTCTTGTTCTTAATGCATATTTGATTCTAAAAGCTTTTAAGGATAGATTGACTTTGCCTATTGCGAAGAGATGAGATCTAAATCCTTACGCTTTGTAGATCAATGATTTATCTTTATGTTTGTGTGCTTTACTCTTGCTGTTACGTGTTGCAAAACATGTTAGAGTATTTGCTTTGATTTGATTTCTATGCACTTTCTTAATTCTATACTTTTACATACTTAATCGATTAGAGTTTCATTCTAGAATTGATTCTTCATCTTTATTTGCTCTCAAAGCACGAACTGGCTTAGCTACCCAG